TGTATATATGTGTGTATGTATGAGTGTGTTGTGTGTATGTGTAAAATCCTTATACAACAACCCATTTTCTACCCAAATAAGTATTTCAAAACTTGACACAACTTCACCTATATAACAAACAATATTATACATGTGTATGAGTGTTACAAAACTCGTAAAAAAAACATAATCCATTCCATCATGCTTTGATTTTATAATCTTAGTATGTCAGCATGTTCCACAGTGACTATTCCACGTTTTCCCAAGGGTATAAAGTCTCATTTCAAAAATTCATGTTTGTTTAGTGTACTTGACAGTTACCTCATGGGTGCATGCAATACATATCTTTTCATTGTTTCATACCTTCTTCTTTTACCATTGCACACGATATTTTGGTACGTAAGAAGAATAATTTGTGTCAAACTATATTATTACACTTTCATCGACTCAGCATGAGGTTGAACTCTGGTAGTCTGCTTAAGATGCATTTGCGTGATAGACAAGGACTGACCATTTTACCCAACGTTCGCAACACCCCTGAGAAAAATTATGGACTTCACTCACTGTGACTCTAATGTGGAGACAAATACATACTTCAATCGCTTTTTCATCCACATGCGTAGATCCAAAATTTAAACAACTTTACCTCCATAGCAAACAACATGAGTAAACCCTCCTCAACAAATGTTACTCTAAGCAATCAAACAGTCAATCAATTTATTAATCAACCAATCAACTAACTGATCGATCAATTGGTCAATAAAGACTTACCAAGGTCAATCTTTATTAACTAATTGATTGATTGATTGATTGACCGCAGTGAGAAAAACAAAACGAGAAAAAAAAATAGAGAATAAAATAACGTCAACCTCCTCCCTCTAACTACCTCCCTCCTCGCATCTCTATCCCTTCTACTCACTTATCCCCTCATCCTACCCCACACCCTCGTCCTCCTCACTTTTCTCTTCCTCCTCCTCCTCCTCCTCTCATTTCTCCTCTTCCTTCTCCTCCTCCTCTTCTTCGTTTTTGTTATCTGCCTTCTATGTCTTCTCCGCTTGCTCCTCCCCCTCTCCCTCCCTCGAGTTTTTTTTTTCCTTCTTCTTCCTCCTCCTTCCTTCCTCCTACCTCCTCTCATTTCTCCCCCTCTCCCCTCCTCCTCCTCCTCCTCCTTCTGCGTACCTCTCCTTCATATGCCTCCTCTTTGTCTGCCTCCTATCCAACTATTCCCCCTCCACCTCCCCCGAACCTCCCTTACCTAACCCAATTGTCCTCAACGACCCACTTACCCAACCCGACCTCGCCAAACTATCTCAATATTTTTGCTCCCACGATTCCTTCCCCTCCTCTTCGTCAAGAAATGACACTTTCATCAATCAATCAATCAAGTATCGATGGATAAGTAAGTATTCACCATGATCAATCTTTATCAGTTAATAAACCAATTGGTTAATTCACTGATTATGCACAACGGAAAGAAAAAAAAAAACAATAAAATCCCCAAAACTAAGTTACAGGGATCTTCCCCACCGTCCTACCTCCCTCCTCTTTCTCATTCCTCCTTGTTTTTCTCCTTCTCCTCCTTTTTGCCTTTCTCCTTCTCCTCCTTTTTGCCTTTCTCCTCCACCTCCTCCTTCGCCTCCTACCTCCGCCAGCCATTGACTTTTTCTTATTATTCTTCCTCCTTCTACGCTCCTCCG